TGGCATGTGGTGCTGGGGGATTGAACCGCGGTCCCTGTGCTTTGCTAAGCTTGTTCTAAGTAGGTGCTTTAGACCACTGAGCCATCTCACCAGCCCCATGCATTTATTTTCTTAAAGATAGGGTCTCACTATGTTGTCTAGGCTAGTCTTGAATTCACTGTGTGGTCTAGGGTTGCCTTGGTTTTGTTTGATATTTTTCTTTCTTTTTTTTTTTTTTTTCAGAACTGGGGATTTTGAACTCAGACCCTTGCGCTTTCCAGGGAAGTGCTTATTCCAATGAGCCATCTCCCCAGCTCCGATATTTTTATTTCTTGAGACAGCGTCTCACTGTGTAGTTCAGGGTGGTCTTGAATTCACTGTGTAACCCAGCCTGGCCTTGAACTCACAGTGATCCTGCTGCCTCAGCCTCCTAAGTGCTGGGATTACACATATGCACCACCAGACCTGGCCGCTAGGATGACCGTAAACTTGTGCTCCTCCTGCCTGAGTACTAGAGTTCTGTACTGTACATGTCTACTCTGTTTTTTTGGTTTTTTTTTTTTGTAGTACCAGGGATTGAACTCAGGCCCTTGTGCTAGCCAGGGAAGTGCTTATTCCACTGAGCCATCTCTCTGGCCCCGGTGTGAATCTTAAATGTCCCCCAAGAGACTCACGTGTTGAAGGTTTGGTTTCCAGTGTTCAGAAGTAGGTCTCGGGGCCCGGGAGATGGCTCAGTGGAATAAGCACTTCCCTGGCAAGCGCAAGGGCCTGAGTTCAATCCCTGGTTCCACACACACACAAAAAAAGACGTAGGTCTCTTAGAAGGAGCCTAACCTCCTCAGTGGATTCCTCCACTGACAAATTTGTAATTTGAGAGCATTACTGGGAGGGATTAGGAATTTAGGAGATAGGACAGAGTTGAATGAAATGGATCATGGGCTGCACCCTTTGACTGGCTGCAGTGCTGCCAATAGATAACAATAAATATCATTACAAATAAAATGATTCCATTATGCACACCTATAATTCTAACTACTAGGGAGGCTGAGGCAGAAGAATTGTTTTGAGTCCAGAATTCAGAGCCAACCTAGGCACCACAGCGAGACCTTGTCTTCAAACAACAACAAAACCCACACACATAAAATGTAGCCGTTATGTTCCTGGTGCTCAGGCTTTCTCTTCAAGGGGCTCAGCTGCAGTACATGGCTCAAAGTGGGAAGTGCGTGCTTTGACCCCAGCAAGGCAGCCCTGGCAGACAGAGCAGAGTACTAGTAGTACTGTGTCCAGATGCCCTGTTGGAAGAGGCAGGCTTGAGGGCCTTCCTGGGCTGCAGTTCTAGTGGTTCCATTTTCATTCCAGCCCTTCTCCTTTCAGGGAAGAACACTTTGCATTTCAAATAAAGGCACTTCGGCTCTGCTCTGCTAAGGGACCAGGAGTCTTGATGCTACCTCAGTCACGACTAGCAGGCCACACCAGACTGATAACCAGGCCTAGCCGGGCTTTAATTGGAATCCTCAAAAGGAAATGCTCTTCGCTGCCACCTTTCCTTTCTCTTCTTCCCTTGGTCAATGTGGGAAACATCGAGAAGGTAACCATCAGCCATACTCTGCCTTCTCGGAGGAATACTGTGTAGCTACTAAGACTTACGTTCATGAATATGCCAAAAACACTATGATGCTTTGTCAAGTAAATATACAGGCCACAAACTGTTATGTATGAAGACTGAATTTCTGTTTTCTTCAAAATTCTATGAGTTGCCAGGTATTATATCCCTGTAAGCCAAGCACTCAAGTCAAGTGGCTGAGGCAGAAGGATCACAGAGAGTTCGAGGTCAGCCTGGGATAAATAAAGGTCACTCTGTACTACACAGTGAGACCCTGCCTCAAAACAAAACAAAATTCGTATGAGTTAAAAGGCAGGAGAGTTCTCCTTAATCAGATTGGATATTAAGATCATATTTAATATTATTAGGCTTCATACTATGATTCAGATAGAATGGATTTTTCTTTCTGTACCCTTTTCTCTGAATTCTCTGAATTTTCTATTAATAAGCATAATTTTGTAATAGAAAGGCATTTTTAAATGGTCTGAATTCTGATTTCACAAAATTTCCTTTCAGCT